ATATATGCAAGAGCTTTGATGTTCCCTGGCTGGTAGAGAAATCTAGGTAATAGAGATGGGCTCTGCTGGCGATGCCAGCCTTTGCTATTTATGTCCCAAGAAACAGCTCAGCAGGAAAGCCTCTTTGGGGAAGGCAGACTTGACTAAAACAAGGCACATTGGGAAGACGTGGACTTCTCCTTGAAACCCCTCTCTCCTTTTAGCAAATGCTTCCTGTTTGTATCTCCTCAGTACCCAGCACAGAGTGCAGGGGACCAGAGACTGGGGCCCTTGTAAACTAGTTCAAAGGGAAGAGAAGCTGTCTTTTAATTCTCCTCATTCAATAGGGGCTTTTATGAATGTGATAATGATAGTTGTCCTATGAGTCTCTGTGCCTCAAAGAACCCTTCCTGTAGTAGAGTCTCTGTAAAGTGTATTGACATCTTGACCTTTTTGTTTATTCATTCGGTGATTGGTTTGGGAATTTTATTTTATTTCATKATTTTTTTTTAACTTTCAAATTTTCTTCCCTAAGTTTTATYATTCTCTTCACATAAAGAGCAAATGGCTTCTACTAGTCCATCCTCAAACCAACTAAGATAGAAATTATTCAAATAGAACTTAGGCTCTACAAAGAAACCAAAAGTATTTTTAAATGTTTTTGAATTTTAATTGGCACATAAAAATTGAATGTATTTATGAGTTATGGTATAATATTCCAATGCACGTATTCAACACATAATGATCAGATCAGCAGAATTGGTACATCCATCACCTYAAACAGAACATTCCAAATCCTCTCTGCTGGCTGTGTTGAAATGTATGTACCCTTAACAGTTACCTACCGTGCTCCTGAGCACTAGAAGCCCTTGCTGCTGTCCAGCTGCACGGCACCCAGGACCCTTGCTGCCACCTGCACATCCCACACATCACATTCCCTCTCAGGTTAAGGACGCCATCCTACATCTTCTGCCCTGACCACAGTCCTGTCAAAAAGCTTTGTGTCTGAATTGGTAACTCCAGAAGCGTGAAATTCTCTTCCTTTCCAAAAAGATTTGAAGCTTTACGTTCTGGATAGGCAAATACATGTTTTTAAATTCTATACAATTTTGAAATTGGATAATAAACCATGTACTGTTTTTTTTTTTAATTGATGGTATTAGCAGAGTTGTACATTCAAAGCCAGTACAGAATCTGCTGGTATGTTTTGGAGGGAGTCACTATTTGGGATGAGAAAAACCAGCCTCATAGTTTGTTCCATGATCTGTTTTCCACATCCTCTAAGCACCTTCATTGTTCTGCTGCTAGCCTGTCCCCACCAGTACTTCATGGCAGAGAGTTTGAGAAGTAGCTGGCAGGCTCTCCTATAAGCACTGTTCTTAGCGCTTGCTGTGTGTGTTTCCATGAGAAAATCTCATAGATTGGTTATAACCTACTTGATCCTTAGCTTGATGAACTCTAAATATATGCATAAAATCCTACATTGCCACAAACAAGATAATTAATTAGAGGAGATTTAACACTAGAAACATATTCTCTAGTCTTTTTTCTGTTTAACAGTGTATGAATTACAAAGTATAATTTGAATCTTGAAGTGATACATGGAAAAAATCAAGAATGGCTACATTTGTTCCTTTTATTTATGAAAAAGTAATGAATAGATATGTTGCACAAAATTGCAGAACACTTATCTAATTGTTAAGCCTGGGAGTAAAACCATGCTAGGAAGGGGTATTTTCACTAATTATCAGATTCTTTCTACTATCCTTCTTACCCCCATACCTTTCTCTCCCTTCACTCCCTTCTATCTAAKCCAAAGTAACTCTCTTCTTCCCTAGCCCCACCCCCTCCTTATTGTGAATTAACATCTACATATCAGACAAAAAATTCAGCCTTAGTTTTTTTTTTTTTTTAGGATTGGCTTATTTTGCTTAGCATGATATTCTCCAGCTCCATCCATTTGTAGGCAAATGCCATAATTTCGTTCTTCTTTAATATTCCAAGAATTTTCAGTTATATGTCCTCAAGATAGAGTGAATATCAAACACAGTTGGCACAAGGTTTACAAATTCAGTTCTGTGTTCTATGGGACGAAATAGCTATTCGTTTGGTCAGCCTTTTGAACATGATAAAGATTTAGTCACCACTTGCCTTTACTCGATGAACCAGTAGAAACGTTAAGGCAGAAGCATTRTATATCTAAATTTATAAATGATGTRTTTCTATTTTGGTAAGAGTTGCATATCCCACAATTTCTCAAGGATCCTCACCAAGAGAAATAATCACATTAAAAGTTTTCATCTGTTTTTATCTACTTCAAAGTGTGACCCCAGCTACACCACTGCTCTGTTGCTTGGTTGATGTTGGTTAGCTAGACAAAATAATGTCAAATATGTTAACATATCCCTTGAAAAAAGTCCAGTCATCCATTAATGAAAATCTCTTCTTTAATGGATACTGATACATTTGCCCCTATTAACTCAAGGAAAGTTTGAATAAAGGTCAGTTACATCAACTGGCTTTGAAATAGTTCTTTTTCTTTGGTGTTAACCTGCCAGGGGGCCATCAATGTTCTGAAATAGCCAAGAATCCCCTTTGAACTCTATCTCTAGTTGCTATCAAAGATTATCTATATTCACATCCATTGTGCTTTTATTTCCTTCAGAGTTTCTCTGTAGCCATTAAGAAATGATTGTAATAAAAGGTATTTAAGAGCTACATAGATGACATGTCAGAGCAGAAGAAAATTGTCTACTGCTATAACTATTAATCCTGCTTTATCRTGGAGAAGTTGGAAAAGTGGAACAAGAGAARAGCCAGCAAAAGATAATGCYGCTGCTTTCCCTCTTTTTACACTTCCCTCTTCTACACTTCAGCTGTCACATTTGTGATGAGCCTGCAGACGCTACTTCCCTACGCCCCCTGCTCGCCTGTCAGCTTTTCTGGAAGAGGGAAATCTCATCCTTGTTGACATTTTGTATTCTTATTTTTCTAGGTCTTATTAGGTCTTTAAATGACAATGTTAATCTAAATGTTTAAGGGGATGATAAAGTAGAAAATAGAACAAACAAAATAGCCAAGGAAATATTTTTCTGTTTCTTGTTACATTAGTAGCTAGACTTGCTGCTCTAACTGGCTTCCTTGAGAAGCCAGTGTTACTACGGCTTCATCATCCTAGTTGACACACTTGCAAAATGACTTGTGTCTTTCCCTAGTGTCCTTTCTGTCCAACGCAAAGAGCAGGTCTCAAATAGGAACCAGGAGCAACATGACAAGGGTGGTTCATTTTCAGTGTTTTTGTTAGTACTTGGAAGAGGTGTGCAGGCTTCATGAATAGTCATCTAAAGGCTTCATGCAAAGTCATCTCTGAAAGGTTTTGATTAAAAAACCCAAGATGCTTTATGTGCTGAGCCTCCTTTTTATAAAGTTGAAACTGAGTGACAAACTCATTGAAAATGACCTTTAGTGGGATGTCCAACATYCATCAATTGACATCATTTAGCTCTGACTTAAGCTAAGCTGTATGATAATAGAGAGGAAAAGGTCATGAATTTTGAATTTGTCTCTTGTAAAATAAGTAATATAATTCTGGAAATTATTTGTGACAGTTAAATAACTTTATAGTATCTCTATCAACATTTCCATTTTTATGTTGCAAGGATATGAGGCAAATGTCTATTTTCTTCCAGTAAAAATTTCAAGACTAAGGAACTTAACTCAGATTCTGGAATAGAGTTTTTTTTTTCACATTTATTTACATCTACACACCTACATACAGATGGATGTACATAAAATGCCTATGAGGAAGCTTAGTGTGTGTCATWTATGTTATATTGATTTTAAATGCATTAATGGATACAAATGGGCTAAACAGATTGGTACCCCACTCTAAAATTATAAAGGAATAGCTTTGTTTTACTGTGGTTTTTCTCAGAAGTATGAAAATATTTTCCCCAAATATATGCATGTTCACTTCTGGTCCTCTTTATAATCATTGCCTTTGTTTTTCACAAAAGTCAAAAATTTCATGTAATCAAAGGTCAGAATCATTATTTCAATTTTTAATATTTTTTAAAGTCATAGTGAAGATAGAAGATTTGAAGTGTAGACAAAAATTAACAACAAATATTTTATCAATGCATCTTTTATAATTGTTGCATGTTTTTATGATGCATGTTGCTTAGGGAAAAGCACCATCTCCCATTGTGCTTTGAATCTTATTTGTTCATTTAACTTTTATTGTTATCATTTGTCCAAGTTGCTATAATCTTTATAGCTCTCATTTCTAGTGGTGGACTGCTATTTCTTTGTGCATTTAAGCCATAATTTTAAAATTATGTGTAATTAATTTTTAATTACACGCTCTCCCATTATTCATTATGTTTAATTCAAAGAAAATTTAACTATCGGGATTGCTGTAAGATCCAGATTTGCCCTATAGCTCATGTCAGTGCATCTAATAAACCATAGCAATTTTCTCTGTTTCATCCATTCTGTCATTTTTTTGTTAGATGCAATATGGTACCACAAATCAAGCAAATATGTATTTCCAAATTGTATAAGAATTGACCACAGTTATGCATGAGTTATGCATAAATTATTATAATTCTGCATTAGTGCAGGCTTTCCATTGTTGAGAACTTCCTATGCAACAGCTGATATATGTAAATATAATATGTGCTACCTTGATCTTTAGCCTTCTTCCACCCATCCAAAACCGCCCCATCTCTGCTTGTTCTTTCCTGTGTAAGTTGTGTCAGAATAGTTCTCAGAGAGCTAATGCTGGAGGGCTACCAGTTGCAGTCACCTCTATACATGTCCCAACCCTCCCCCCCCCCAAACTCCATCATAAGCTCTCTGTGGCAGGAATGGCTCTCCTAATCCCTGAACAGTTGACCCTCCCTGTCGCCAGTATTCACTGGATTCTATAACACCTGCTTTTGTTTTCGTTTGTGATGTTTGAAGATGGAAATATGAGGAAGTTGTTAAAGACGTTTACTCTCTCATTTTTCTTCCACCAGTGGGATGGATTAGGACCTCTTCCAGACTATGCAGAACCACCCAAAGGGATCCAGATGCTGTGGCACCCCTCCATAGTCAAACCCTACCTCACACTGCTCTCTGAGTGCTCAAACCCAGACACGCTGGAAGGGGCGGCAGGTGCCCTGCAGAACTTGGCCGCAGGGAGCTGGAAGGTATGGCGAGTTCGTTACAATACAAAAGAATCTGGAGTTGCAGCAAGTCTTGAGAAAATAATGCMAGTGTAGTTCCAAGAGGTGCAATTCTAACAAAGATGTTTAGGAGAAAAACCAATTATATTGAGTTGTTGGGCTTAGAAAGTTGAAAAAAAAAACTTTAAAAAAATGAAATTCTTCTTAAGGTTTCAGAGGTCTTTGAAGACCACTGGTGAAAAATATGATCATTGAAAAGGCTGTGAAATTCTTGCGATTCTATGGGGACAGCTGAGCTGCTTGACTTTCAGGGACAATTGTGACATGTGTACGTTTTCAAAGCACCATCATTGGCTGTTAAGGGAGCTAATCTGCAAACAACATCTAGATGTTGTACTGGGTCCCAGCCCCCAAAGAAGACCCCTTGCATTTTTAAATCATGAGCTAACAGAGGAGAACAGTATTGTTAATTCCATTTGGAAAAAAACATTTAAACAAATGTATGATTTTGACGAGATTAAGAGGGTCCTTTCTCCAAGTCCTTATGAACTGACACTATTCCTGCTTGATTTTCACAGAAAATTCTCAAGATCCTGATTTTTGGTAGGAAAAGATTCACCAGGGAAAATAATTCTTGACTATGGTCATCATAGTTACAAGCACCAATTTGCCTTGTTGCATTAAAATATAAAARTGTGTGACCACTCTTAGAGAAATGAAGATGGAATGTATGGGGAAACGCCAAGAGAAAAAACATCCAAAAAAAGTTTTGATTCTGCCATCATGTTCCATCCACTTAATATCAAAGTCAGGATTTGGGAGGTTCATAAATCACTCTTTTCTTTGACATTCATTCTCTTCAAAGTGATGTTAACATTGACACAGAGCTACAGAATTTTCAGAAGCTCAGAGGCATAGATGTCACTCTTCCTGGCCTCAGATCATCATGTGACTGCACAGACCCTTGTGCTCATAAGGTCCAGTGTCAGCCTTCTTGTCATCTCTCTCCTCTCTCCCTCCCTCCCTCCCTCTCTCTCTCTCTCTCTCTCTCTCTCCCTCTCTCCCTTGTTTCCACTACTCCAGCCCCAGCTCTTCCTTCCAGCTGTGATGATGTCACAGCTCCTGGGCCGGTCCCTCAGTGTGCCTGGGGAGCTGCTTGCTGCTGTGTGGACAGGCTCAAGCTTCCTTGAGAGCCTGAGGAATGAACATGATCGTCACTTTCCCTCCCTGCCTGTAAAACATCCCTAGTGTTTCTACCTACAGAATTCAGGTCAGGCCAGGCTGGAAGATGTCTCCTTCTTTCAACCAGAGATAGGAGCAGACAAGTTTCAAAAGCAGAGTCCCACCATGCAGAAGGCCAGAGTGTGGCCTTATAGGACTAGGAAGGTCATTCATGGAAATCGCTGCTTTGAAGTGGCCCTCACATCTCATGTCCCTGTAAGCTTAACATGATCCAGTAATTTTTGATTCAAACCACAGTTCAAACBCAGGACCTGCCTTTTCAGAGGGTGGTGATCCTGAGCAGGTTACACTCCTCGTGGGTCTCACGTGTGTCATCTTCAAACAGAGAAGACCATGCTGAACGCTCTACCATGCAGATCCATCACCACCTGGATGCAAAGATGGGAACGAGATGGCATGGCCCAAGGATTGTCACATTTTGTGACCAAGAGTCCCCAACAGCACCCCTGCCTTATGGCACTATCTCAACAGGCATGGAAAGGAAGGGACTGTGAGCTGAGACTAACCTGAGGTACAAAGACATGGATATCCAGATGGTGACAAATCTCATGTGCTATCTAAGCTCTGTTTTTAACCAACTATCATGTTCCCTGAAAAATATGTAGTTCCTTATCATGATAATTTAAAAATCATGAAATGTCTTTGGGCACTTGAAGATGTTGAATATAAGACTTTGACTTTTAAACTCAGATTCTTTATGTTCAAAACGTTAAGAGGATCTGGCAGGAATATGTAAAAGACCCAAATCAAACTTCTAGAGTTGAAAATAGCATGTCTGAAACTATGGCATTTCATTGCATTTAAATGGAATTAATAGCAGATTATTGTAAAAGGGAAAAAATGTGTGAACTTGAAGACAATAAGGGAGATTATCCAAAAGAAAAGAAGAATGCAGAGTGCATCTTGAGAATCAAGTAATCTTGAGAAATGCAGCGAACCCTCCCACAAGAGAAGGAAGAGAACAGAAAAGAAAATATTTAAGGAAATAATGGTTGAAATTCTTCCACATTTTATGAAGACCAGAAATTTGAAGACTCAAGTAGCTCAAGGAACCCAAAATACAAGAAACATGAAGAAACTATACCAAAGTACATTATAATTCAGTTGCTCAGAACTGGTAATAAAAGGAAAATCTTAGAAGCAGCAAGAGAAAAAAGACRTGTTGAATACCAAGAGCTATGTAGCATCTAACCAGCGAAGGTCAAGAGCAGCGTCATGGATCATCTATCCCTTCATACCACAAGTCCTTGCTGAGCTGCTAAGACTGTCTCTAGAAGGGAATCTGGTCTGTGAGCCCCTGAAGGGCCAACACCAACTTCCACTTGTCTCTAAGCTCTGCTTGGCTGAGCAAAGATGTCCCAATTTTAGATTATATAATGCCAATTATGAAAGATGTGTAACAATTATTCTCAGCGTTTAACCCAAGCAGTACCTGTCCATATGTCTTTCTTGTAGATGATGTCTATTCATAAACATCTATCTATCAGTAAGAATTTAGTAGCATATTACAGACCATGCCATCCTCAGATGGTCACATTTATGACCAATTACTTGGTCTTTTGATTCAGATACAAATATGCTTTTTATGCAGAATAAAGTTGATAGAGTTGTTTTTGCAGAATCTGGGCTCAGCTGTGCTGGCAAGCTGCAGGTTTAGAAGTGGGGCCCTGCTCTACAGTTCCTGCAGTGTGGAAGTATCTGCGCAAGTCACCAGGCTCGTGTCTCAGGGGTAACCAGGCCAGCATGAGAACTGCTGACAGAAGTGGGTAGTTAGGTGTGAGGAGTAAGAAAATGGCAGGTTTGAAAAATGTTCGCTATTTCTATGTTCTCCAATTATCTCCCATTTTGGATTATATAATACCAATTATGAAAGATGTGTGACAATCATTCTYGGTGTATTCTGRAAAGAGCATCTTGCTGTTTCCAGAATATAAGCCTATATATTAGTGTAGCTAATTATATTATAATTATATTAGTTGGCCCAGTGTGACTGCTGTCCACACACATCCAGGGAACATTTATTTCATAAATTTTTATAGAGTAAATACTATTAAGAAGGGGAAACTGAAGTCAAGATCACAGAAGCTGTTCTGTATTTTAGACAGAGCTTAACAATTATACCACTGGAATTCCAAGTCTGCACTGTAGACATGAACTAGAATATTCAGATACACAGTAAAAAGACAGGGTGGATACCCTGATGGCAAAGAGAGAAGAAAGAGGAGTTAGGAAAAGTAAACATACAGGTGCAAGAAAGAAAAACTCCCAGAGGTTGTTCTAATAACTGGTAGTCATAGTGCTGACCTCTGTCATCAAGAATATGTTAAATTGCCACTAGTAAATTTTAGAAGACAGAAAGAATTTTAGAATGCCAGTCTTATTCTAAGCTCTGCTTCCCAAATAATTCTAGACAAATGAGTCAGGGTGAGTTGCTACTAAGGAACATTCTGTATAGTAGTAAATAAATACATACTTATATAGGGGCTTTTTTATTAAAATACAAATTCACAGGTTCATATATAATTCAATTACATTATCAACATCTATTAAATAATTTATTAATTTACAATGTGGGAAGGGAGGTGGACAATTCTTTGACAAGATTGGGAAAAATTTCATTGARCCAAACACTAACAAATTACTTCAAGAAAATTGAGAATTAAGTGTGCAAAAACCAAGCATGGAAACCCTTATTTTAAAAAGTCTATTTCAAAAGATAGTCCTTGAATAATTAAAATATTGACAGGATACACAATAGCGTTGACTTTCACACAGTTAGTATTGCTGTCTGAAATCTGGAGTCTAAGAATGTGTTTTTATAGCAATTGTCAAAATTTAGTGGTATTTCTTTAGTGTCCTTAACGTTTTATGGCCCAACAAAAACAGAAATGTGAAGGTAAAACACCAGAATATTGCATGAAGACAGCTTTTTATAGACCTCATTGTCTGAAACAGTAACTTTCCTTTATGGGAAGAGCATGCACACTCTTTTTTTTTTTTATCTGTAACAAATTGACTAGCAAACTAGATCTTCATAATGGCCCTAAACACTTTTTAAAGTTTAAAACACTCATTACTTGGTTTATGAGCATCAGAAAAAGATRATGGCATTATGCAGAAGCAAAGTGATACATGTTTTTCATAGCCGACATGGACATCAGTTACCTTTTTCTCATTTACAGTACAATGGTTTTGTTTGTGGCAGAATATTAAAACAATTGGATATAGTAGCCCGAAGATTTCCAAAATGTGAATGAATGCTCCTTCACTCTATTTGTGGATATTTCTATTGTAATTGAGCTTTATGGAAACCCAGGGATTAAACTACAAAAATAAAATCTGTACTAGCTCTGTAGTCAAGCATGTTTGATATTTTTGTATTTTCAATCCACCCCCCATAAAATGTGAATATGCTCCCACTGGTTTTAAAAATAAGATAGGAGAAAAGAATACTYGGATAATAATACATCAGTATTTAATGAGCTTACATGATAGCAACAGAGACTTAGTGAAGAAGGAAACAGAATCTATGATCACGTGGGCCAGCAAGTGAAAAATGTCAGGGAACCAGGAAATTCGAGACTTATCCTTACAGACAGGGACAATGGCCTGAGGAGGGATACTGATTAGCATAGCTTAGTGCTCAGTGGGCATGGGGACGAGAACCAGGCAAGATTAGGGGAGTTCAACAAAGAGAAGTTAAAATCATGAGTTCACATCTAAGACAAAGTGAATTGCCTCTGTCCCAGTTAACAGTGTGAGGAAAAGCAAGAGGTTTAAAT